GATGATGGAGATGATGATGGAGATGATGATCGTATTAATGATGGAGATGATGATGATGATGATGATGGAGATGATGATGATGATGATGATGATGGAGATGATGATCGTATTCTTTGCAGTACTTTCACTTCACAAATCTTGGAAGGAGAAGAGGTACTCGTCAATCTGCACATGCATGGCTTCTTGCTATGCTCTTCTCCCCGCTCTTCACAACTGTCATCGCAGACTTTTCGCCTTCCAACCTTGTACAACATCTTCATCCGCAAGAATTTTCGAGGAATGGGATGTGCAAAGCAGGTCTACCCTGCTCCTGCTCCTGCTCCTGCTCCTGCTCCTGCTCCTGCTCCTGCTCCTGCTCCTGCTCCTGCTCCTGCTCCTGCTCCTGCACTTCCATCTCCCTTTCTACCTCGGATCCAGCTGCAGCTCTTGTTGTTCCTGCTCTGTTCTTCTCCTCCTCCTGCTTCCCTGCCCTCACACCTTGTTCCTCCTCCTCTACTCTCTCCTCCCCTCCTTTTCCTCTCTGTTTCCTCTCCTCACCTCTCTCGTCCTCCAGCTCTTGGAGGCGTTCTTTCGTCCTCATACCATCGGAAAGTCTCGAACGAGGAGGGTCGTCAAACAGGCAGACGGCAAATTCTCTTTCTCCTCGTCCCCCATCCCTCAGCCATCACTCGATCAGCCCTCCCTTGATATCATCGATATGCTCCAGGTGCTTCGTCCCTCCCTGCTCCCTCCCTGCTCCCTCCCTGCCTCACTCCCTCCCCTCCTACCTCACCCTCCTCTCCTACCTCACCCTCCCTCCCCTCCCACCTCTCCCACTCTCCCTCCTCTCCTACCTCTCCCCCCCTCCCTCCCTCCCTCCCCTCCTACCTCTCCCACTCTCCCTCCTCTCCCTCGCTCGCTGATATCATTTAGATCGATCCTCCTGTGTCAAACGCCCTCTGTGCTTGCATCGAGAAAGTTTTCACGTAAGTTCCCCTCACGTTTCTCCTGCTCCCGGCCCGCTCCTCTCCTCTCCTCTCCTCTCCTGTCCTCTCCTCTCCTCTCTCCTCTCCTCTCCTCTCTACTCCTCTCCTCTCCTCTCCTCTCCTCTCCTCTCCTCTCCTCTCCTCTCCTCTCCTCTCATCTGCTTCCCCTTTCCTCCCTCCTCCCTCCTCCCTCCTCCCTCATCCCTCCTCCCTCCTTCCTCTACCGCTGAAATCTCCCCCTGCTTGACTCTCGTGGACATCAAGGATGAGGCAAGATTGATCGCTGCTGCTCCTATGCGTACGAGGATGGAGAGGGAGGTCAGAGGCAGCGCGCAGAAGCGGTTCCTTGCTCCCTGAGCATGACGATGAGGAACTGACGTCAGTCTGAGCAGGATGAGCCAACGAGGCACCAGCGCGTTTTCCTCCTCCTCCTCATGCAACGGGGAAGTCATCTTCAAGTACAGCTCGCTTGACAGCGCGAGGAACGAACGATTCAGCGACCTCCTAGGGGACAAGCAGAAGGCCAAGACTCTGGTCCAGGTCCTTGAACCCCCAGCGCCTCCTTCCCCCTCACATTTCCCTCTGCTCTCTCCTCCTCCTGCCTTGTTCTCCGCTCCCTCCTGCTTCTCCTACTCCCACCACCTCCCTTCCCCATCTTCTCTCACGTCTCGTCTATCCATCCCTCTCCCTCCCTCCCTCCCTCCCTCTCCTCCTACGTTGACGTCCAATCAGGATGCCCGTCAGCTAGTGCAGGACTCCAATGACCTGCAGGACGGAGGGGCAGCCGTACAGAATGAGGTCGGTGAAAGGAGAAAGGAGGAGGGAAGGGGCCAAACGAGGGAGGACGAAGGCAAAGTTCCGTCGAACAGGTGGGACGGCGATTCTTCCCGGCTGAATGTCCTACCTTTAATGCCCCAGCTGGACTACTTCAACCCAGGCCGGAAAAGCTGAACCTGTCGTCATATCCTTCTCTACTTCTCGAATGGGACTTTTTTTGGGGAGGAGGACACCCGGGCCTGTTCAAATTCTTTTTTTGTTTATTTTTTGGCCT